AAATAAACACAATTTACCCATCACACCATGTGTGTATGCGTATATATATATATATATATATATATATATATATAAGGCTAATATTCCATGGTTATAATTTATTACATTGGAATCGTAATCACAATCCAAGTCATCAGACCTACAACAAAATAATGCGATTTTTTATTCAAAATATATATATATATATATATATATAGGGTGTCCATAAAAGTTAGTGTGCACTTTAAAAGCTTAATAACTTTAAAGTGCACACAAACTTCATGGACACCCAGTGTGTGTGTATATATATATATATATATATATATATATATATATATATAAAAATCGCATTATTTTGCCGTGTTGTTAGTAAAGAATTTTAGCAATTATGCTTAACCATGATGCTTATTCTACAAAGTGATATGTAATTTTTTTTTACTTAAAATTATTTTTAGCAAGTCTTGATTATTTGACATGTTTATCAAATGTTATATGTTGGACGAGTGTAGGATAGCAGTAACAGCATGGAAAAATGAATGTTTATATTCAATTTTCATAGATGCCTTTAAGAAAGTCCTGAATCTACTTGTCTCTTTATTTAGTTTCACTGCCAGATATCTTGACAGAAATATCTCATTACAGCGGATAGAGAAGGAGATGAGTGAAAGAACGATCAGAAGGTCATTCTTCTATAACTGCTACCTACATAAACAGCAGCACCAAAGTTGTTATCTCTATTATTAGCCTTGACAGGCTCTCATAACTGAATTTTAGAGTTAAGTTCAATGAAAATATTATATAGGCTTATCAAGATGTTCTTGTCAAGACTGTATCGAGAGGAACATGAAAGTGAAGCCATTGTATGTAGAATTTTCTTGGGGAAAAATATCCTTGAGTATGGATCATAGAAGGAAAATCTACCTTCATGGATTAAATAAAGTGGCACATCTTGAAATTTCCTGCTTATCAAATATGACAATGTATCTGAAAAAGGCTGAAGAATATGTCAGCTGAAATCTTAGAAAAGCAACAAAGATGAAGGCCAGTTTGAATAAATTCAGTGTACAAAAATAATAATGTCACAAATTCAGACCGCAAAAAAAATTGTACTACTTGTGTATAATGTAATCTTTAAATAATTTGCTTGTTATTATAACCATGCATTTGTATACATATATACCTACATAAACACATATCCTTTTCTTATGTATATAAGTGCTCTATTTTAAATACTATTAAAAGAGATTTTTAATATATAGAAAACACACATATAAATAGTGCAAAAAAAAAAAAAAAAAAAAAATTTAATTATGATGAAGCAAAATGAAAAATCTTGAGTGCTGGAAAAAAAAAAAATACTGACTTTGAGAAATTTGTATTGCCAAGAAATTTTAAGCATACTTTCTCGCACAAACAGAGATAGATAGATAGATATATATATATATATATATAAGCAAATATATGGATATAGATCCGACAGTATGAAGAAAAATATATACGGAAAAAACAAACAAAAATCCTTATATACAATTATGCTGTTTTAATGTTCACAGCTTCGCCCACATGACCATGTTTTAAATGGAGCGCTGATCTTATAAAACTTTCAGTTATCTGTTTGGATAAGTCTTGTGCTTATGTACATCATCTTTGTCATGTTGTATTGATAATGTTACAATTTATGAATATGTCCTGAAGATGGTTTATTAGACCGAAACGTCCGACGTTGACATATTAACATTAAAACAGCATAATTGTATATAAGAATTCTTGTTTGTTTTTTCCGTATATATTTTTCTTCATATATATATATATATATATATATATATATCTGATGCAATGAGAACAAAAGTAATATATAATTCTAACATTCACAGCATTAATCCAAAAGAGGTCTTGATACCAATAGTAGAGCGATAATATAGACAAAAACAGTTTACTCACTACAAAGATGCAACTTCGTTTTGGTGCATTTCAACTGCACCTTGACTGGTGGAAACCAAAAATGGTTATGAACAGTTCTGTGAGTAAACTGTTTTTGTCTATATGATAAAATTCTAATAAAATAATTATCGCTCTACTATTGGTATCAAGCCCTCTTTTGGATTAATGCTGTGAATGTTAGAATTTATATATTACTTTTGTTCTCATTATTTTATATATATATATATATATATATATATATATATATATATATATATATATATATATATATATATATATATATATGAGAGAGAGAGAGTTCAGAAGTGCGAGCTCTACACTGTCAAAAAATGCCCAGTTTACCTCAGATTACCCTGGATTGGTACCAAATGTGAAAAAATAGCTAAACAAATTTCATCCAATGTTCATTGTTGTTTTTTCTCTGAAGTACCGATTATTTTTCAAACTCGCCTATGTTTTGATCTGCGTGTAAAGACGTTCTTCCTCCCCATAAAATTAATTCAATTATTTACAAATACGTTTGTAGTTGCGGAGCCGACTACATAGGGAGAACAACTCAACACTTAGACATGAGAATAAAACAACACGTTCCTACTAAAATTAGAAATCACACCTTGCTTTTGAATGGACTCGTCCCGAACACCTATAGTTTCGCCATATGCGGACACCTATTAAAGAACAGAGATTGTGCAGCCAAATTTAGTATTGACTGGTTCACCGTGTTGTCCCAGGCTCACTCCTTATTTCATCTAAAGGTTCTGGAGGCACTTTACATCGGGTCCTGCAAGCCTTCTTTGTGCAAACAACGTGAGTGTTTGTTGGGACTCGCTGTCATTTGTCTCTAGTTCCTTTTCACTTTTTTTTTTTTTTTTACAATTCCTTTTATTGTACATTTTTCTGTGTTAATTTTAAATCTCCCATTGAAGCCTGAAGAGCGGGAACGAAACCGGTTGCTTCACCCGTTTTTCTTGTTTTTTTTTTAATATGTCTCGTAATATTAAATTTTATACTTTTATTTCGATCATTAAATTTTGTACCTACAAAAATATTATATATATATGTGTGTGTGTGTGTGTGTGTGTGCAAAGTATGTTTATGATTTTTCTCAGGTGTAATGTCTAACTTTTAATGTCACTTGTCCAAAGGAAATAAGACTTATTTTACATTGATGACACCAGATGGCAGTGTCTTCATTGTAAATAAATGCAAAGAAAAAGTTCCCAATATTTGCAAACTACTATTGCAAAATTAACTATGGTAGTAGTCCCCCCCCGCCAATGAATACAATTGCAATCTTTAACTTATCAACTTAAATGTTGTTGATATCAATTAATACTTTGCTGCATCATCCAATCTCTTAATTTAGGCCTTTTATTTCGAGAGAGAAAAATATCATCTAACAATTTATACAAATACAGAAGGTAATTTGTTTTGCTTGTTCAATTTCTACCAATCTCTGTCTTTATGTACACCTTTGCATTTAATTCAGGCCTTTGATATTCAATTTATATCATATTCAACAGTGAACACAGAATAATAGCCACATCATTTTAGCAACACCAAAATAATAAAATTTGAAAGCTTTGAGGAAGAAGTACTATTGAATTTTGACAGATATTTGTAAAGACTTCCCCAAAGCCAAGGTAATTTGTTAAGCTGTAAGTCAAGACAGACAAAAAGGAGACAAAATAATTGACATATGCACCAAGTATCTAATATAAATATATTGCCAGGTGGCTGGAAAATATTGCCCATCCACCTGCCGATATATATAAATTTATTTCCAGAGAAAAGAGAAACAATGAGAACGATAAAGAGAGGGTGTAGAGAGATTGTACATATGGATCACTGAGTCTATCCGGTAATATCATTGTGTATTTACGAAACAGAGGCAAGCCATAATACTGATTTGCACAGATTAAGGAATATCAGAATGGTGAGAAGAAAGAAACTGGTATAGGAAGTATTAGAAAACAATTCAGGCGCTAAGAGAATGGTCGGCAATAATAAATATCAAAGATTATCAAACGGAGATAAAAGAAAAAAAAAAAAAAAAACAATCTCGTTATCCTCTTAAGGGATTCCAGATATATATCCATTTTGGTTTATCTTGTTTCTTCCTCTAAGAACATTATTCTTGATCAAAGCAGACTTAAAAGAAAGAAAATTATACAATACCTACTACTGGAAGATACATGAAATATATCATTGCAGGTTTAGCACAAGGGTTAAAGCACTAAAAGACTGATGGCTGAGAATTCTTAGAGGAAATTGTGATGCTAACGAGCATAAAATTTGAGAAAGAAAGAAAACTAATTTGTAAAGCAGAGAAAATTTGCCTATTTAGTAATCGTTATCTGTCGATAGTTTAAAAAGGAAAATAAATGGTAGTTAGTAGCTCATGGTCTTGTGCAGCATCTAGAGAGGCTGCTCTGAACAACAGTTGCATAATGCATGGGTTCTTGTAGTGCAATGTTGTGCATGGAAGGGTGTCACTGCAAGAACGTCTGGTGGGCAATCTTGAGGCCACATTATACTGCAGTCTGCACCAATTCCCAGCCCACACATATTTCCTTACATGACAGACAGCAACTCCTATTCTCTGCCTTTTCCTAACCTAATACCATGGCGATAAGCAACCAACAAAATAAAACCAAACCAGGCTGACAAAATTCACCTAAACCCCCTCAACCTTTCTTTCTCCAACATTTGTGGTATTTGTACCAACTTCTGCAGTGTGGAACCATTCCTCTTTGAACATTCTCCAGACATCCTGGTTCTCTGCAAAACTAATCTTAACTCTTCAATCCCCTCCTCTTAATTCTTGATTTGTGACTATCTTCCTCTCATTACGAAGGAGTTTTGTGTCCACATGCATGGCTTAGGAGTTTATTTTCGGGAAAATCTTCCATTAGCAAAGGAACTCAAGTCTCCAGACCATTCTTACATGTGTCCCTGTCTTTCTCTGCTAAACTGTCAGCTATCTCTTCTTTCTCTAACATTCCCCTTCCTCTCATGACTGTTGTGTGCTAGATAGTATATCTCTAAGGCCATTTCTCTACACCACCCACACATCTAAGCTTACAGCACCTGATATTCCCAAGTGATCACCCATCTAGGTAAGGACCAGGCTCGACATTGTTTAACTTTGGTGATCATATGGGAACCAATATTTCAACATGATGTGGTTGTTAGCCTTAGTCTGTTAGGACCTCCAGCTGATTAATCTGGTGCAAGAGAATATTCCAACACTCTGCCAAGACCTTGAAAGCTGGTGCGACAATGTGGCTCACATGAGCTCAACACCTTCTGATTTCCAATTCTGAGCCATTATCCATTATACTGCCTACACATCCAACTTACAGCACCTGATATTCCCAATTGATCACTCATCTAGGTACTGACCAGACAACATTGCTTAACTTTGGTGATAGAAAGAGAGAGTGGTATGTATATTTATCATGTGATAGTGATTTTCCAAGTATAGCTCAGATGTGGCCTAAGGTCAAAAGTAAGAGGCACCCAGTGAAGATCAAACTCACTACTCAGTTGTAATTGTTCTAGCGAGACAAGCTTGCTAACCATTACACCACCACCAAGTGCCCAATATCTGCCTTCCTATATTGATTTTCCAAGCATTGCTTAAATGTGGCACAAAGAGGCACCCAGTGAGAATCAAACTCACTACTCAGTTGTAATTGTTCTAGCGAGACAAGCTTGCTAACCATTACACCACCTTAAGGTAACCTATTTATTATGTGATAAGTTGTAGTGGACATTATTGTGGTCGTATGAGCTTTTTAAGAACAGGATATACTATAGCGTGTAGTATGTGATAGAAGGTATGCTTAAGGGCTAAGAAGTTCGCCAAAGGAAAAATGAGACAGGTCCTCTCACTACAGCATCGAGTGAATAAAGAGAAAAAAAAGGACAGTGTTTATCCTTTTATGTCATACTACTTTATACAATGCCATCTCATAGATGTTTATAGAAGACACTTAAGGTGGAGTAATCATACCTTATACATATAATAGAAAACATGATTTTACTATAGAAATGCATTGAAAATCAGAAAAGAGATGACAAGCATTACAGATAGCACAAGGCTATATGTATTATATTCAAATAGAGTTTCTACAAAATTTCTTGCAAAAATTATCCAAATCATAAATATGAGGCAGAGGCTGACAGCTTCTTTTGAGATCTTTTCCTTGCAACCTAATACAAGATCACCAACTCTTCAAATATACCCACTCCAATTGTCTCTTTGTTGTTGTAGTAGAAGTGTGTTCAATGTCCTAAGTAGCAAATTCAATGCTTGGTAATGTAGATGAATAAGCCAAGTCCCTATCATTTTGTCAGGAATGGTAAAAAGCCTGAACAATGTTCTTTCAATGACAATGAGACAAATAGACATTTCAAGTATCCATGTGAGAAATCAAATGTGTATAAAGTAATTGACACAATGTAATGATATTATTCGAATGGCAGCCTGATGCAGATGGTGAGAGTTGACAAACAAATATAGAAAAAAAAATATTCACAGCAAAGAGAAAAGTATATATTAATGATGACTTATTGGCAACAGAAGCCTGAATTTTTAAACAAGTGTCAAGTGTGATCACATTGTTATCAGCCATCAATATGAGATAAAATGCAAGTAATCTTCTGTGAGGCTATAAAGAGAGTTTTCTTTTTTTTTAGCTTAGTTACAGGGTTTGACAACAGATCATTCTGTTACTTCTATTGGAAAACTTTCTAATTTTAGAGTTCGTTCACAGAAAAAAAGATTAAAATAAAACATAATTGGTCTGACTAAGCAAAATTGACCATATACAGGAGAACCTTAGAGTGAAGTCATTGTATTTATAGCTCTTTGTTGATTCAAGTGAATATCTTCAAGCATGCTAAGTAAAGTGAGAACAATCTATCTCTGTTGATTTAATAAAGAGTTTGGTTTGAAATAATTTCCTGATAATAATATCTCTCAGATGCATGCACACATACACATTTTTAAGTAGTTCATGGATTCTTCAACTTGACATTATTTTTTATTACTATAAACTTTATATTTAGTGTGTACACATGTTTGAGCAGACTACCCAAATATTTTTTTTTTTTAAACAGTGAAATTAATGTTTATCAGCCTAGAGATCAAAAGTTTTAATAAAGAAAATGTGCCTGTCAACAAAAATAAAACCTACTGATCAAGGAAACTGCTTTGCTGTAATGATTTCTTCTAGATTAATCATAAAGCATAGCTGGCTTTAAAATATACCCCCTCCCTAATTAAAAATGCATGAACAGACACTCTCCTGTGGAGTTACTTTTTAGTTACCATATATACTTGTGTATAACCTGACTATGTATAATGCAACCTCTTCAAAAACATTTACCTGTGATAGTGCAGTCCCCTATTTTTGCATGAAAAACTGACCATGAAAACCTGCACTATATTAGAGTATATACAGTAGACACTACAGAGTAAATCTGCATATTGTATATAAATGTTGCATTGACAATGACCAAGCAAGTAAAACAAAGACCGAGCTAGTAAATCAGCAAAGTTGCCTGCAAAGTTGTTTGGTAAGACATTGCCCAAATCTCTCAGACTCCTACATTGTAGATTTGGCTCTCTGAAACTTTGCAATTGCAGTTCATGAACAAAATATTAAGGAGAACAGAAGATAGCTGATGATGATCCTGAAAGAGGATTTTCCAGACTGTTTTGAAAAGTGGAAGGGTTGCTTGTATAAAAGAGTACTTTGAAGAGGACTAAAACACTATTACCATAGGTAGGCTGATTTTAATATTAAATGACTGAATTATTTTTTATGATAATTTGAGTTTTTTCCTGATCTCCACTATGAGATGTATTTTTGTTTTATTTATGCATGTCGTTTATGTCATGGTTTCACAATGACAAGCCAAGAGTTTGGAAAGAGGAAAAAAAACTGTTCCTGTTGTATAACTGCCTTCACCTAGACTGGTTGCCATCCAAGGCTATAGGACCCAGTCTGTCCTGTTATTTTACCCATAACTGGAGAGAGAAGAGATCGATTCATACCTTTCTGAAAGGTATTATCACATAAATGAATATAATTAACTCAACTCTGATTCCTCAATCCAAGCCACTAACCATTACTCTGCTTTGCCATATATATATATATATATATATATATGGCACGGTGGAGTAATGGATAGCGGCTTGGATTGAGGAATCGCAAAGCAGAGTTCGAAATCCAGTCAAATCCATTACATTCACTTACGTGCTAATACCCTTGGGAAAGGTATGAATCCTCTTCTCCTTCCAGCTATGGGTAAAATAGCAGGACAGACTGGGTTCTATAGCCTTGGATGGCAACTGGTCTAGGAGAAGGACAACTCTGAATTCAAAAACTGCGGAGGGTCGTTTGAGGACCTTGTGGCACGTAGTACACCAGGTCTCTGTATTCGGCCCTTCAAAAAGTGTGGATAGTCTTGCACGAAGCCTTCACCGCTATAATCAAATCTCATGTGCTGTTGTCGGGCTGTCGGTTACCTGGAAACTGATCTGCTTGACCCTCATACGTCGAATCTCGACGGGAGAGTTGACTATATATATATATATATATATATATATATATATATAAAATGACTAAATGCATTACTAAAGCAAGCTGACCTATTTGGTTAAAGAAAAAAAAAGAAAAGTTTTGTGAAGCTTTTAAATGAATCAGCAAATTATACTTGATAAAAAATGTCTAATAAAATAAAAAGAATTTATGTCTAATTTTATTAGTTTCATCACTCGAACTGATAATCTTGCCAAGTGAGAGCTTTCATCATTAAGACTATTAAAAAGATTCATATTTATATTCACTTTGTAACCTGCCAATTTTTAGTCATTACAAAAGGAAATAAAAAAAAATGGAAAAAGAGCCAAGTGTTATTGTTCAGGTTTCTCTGTTATACCTGAAGTAATCTTTCACCTCAACCTACTGAAACAATTTTATACTTGAACAAATGACTTTCTAACCAAAAAAGGAGTTGTAAATTTAACCTCAGCTGGAAACCTTAGTGTAGGGTCATAGTATACAAGACAGTTTTTGTTTTTGATCTTCATATAGTGCCCAAGGCCTTGTACCAAACTAAGCTATGTTTAGTAAATGAATATTAAGAATAGATTGTGGCAGTTTATGTTCAGAAGTCAGATGTCAACAATTTTGGTAATTTCTGATTACTAACAGATTTACAGACGGTCTGAATAAGTTAACATGGTGAGATTAGCTGTTTCCATCCAGGAAACATTCAAACTCAAACAATTAGCATTGCCATTTGTTGAAATTTAAAAAAAATTTTTCTTAAAACACGTTTAACTAGAAATTAAACTTAAGTTCAGTGTTATCACTCTTTCTGGTATTGCAAGGAGTTTTTCACATTCTCTTATTTAAGGTAAGTGTAGAAATTTAACATCTTCCTCATTACTTTCTCTTCCAGTTACATGCGTTACCCATTTTTTTGGAGTGGGGGGTATTATTGGAGCACAACAAAATAAGCATATTCTCCTTTCGATGCTGTAAGGCAGAAACTGAATCTAACACATTGCTATGTCATCAGTCTGATGACTGGTTGTGGTTATAGGGTCATGGCAAATTCTGGGTATCTGAACAGCTCCCACCATATGTTTTGGTTGCATACCAACCTCTGAATTTTTGTTAATGATCTTCCAGTCTAATTAGTAACATTGTCAGACCATTTTTTCCTGCCTCTTCTCTTGCATGAAATGTAAATTTGGAGGACGACCATGAAAAAATTGTTGGGTCTTAATGATGATATTGAAGAGGACAAATTCTACGAAAGATAATTAATTGTTACTCCCAAAATGAAGAATGGTCAACCACTAATGCAAGCAACTCTAATGGCACATTGTATCATTAGTTGTGATTCATTCTGTTCTGGTGATTTTAGTCAATCAAATTACAATTAATATTCAAAACTATTATTGGTCCCTCAACTGCTTCAATGATTATGGGGACCTAAGGGGAGAAGAAAAAAAATACCCTCCTCTAGCATGATCTGTTAGTGGTGGCTCTCAGGAATTGTCATGTCCATCCACTCTTTGATGTTATCTGACCAGCTCTTGTGTTGCTGTCCCCGCTTACATCCATCTTCAACAGTGCTTTGCCCAATGGTCTTGCAGACGCTG